AAAAAAACAAAAAAAAAAAAAAAAAAAAAAAGTAAAGAACTTGAACTCAAACTCTTTGACTTTGGAGTCTATGTATAGAATATGTTAGGACACGGAAAAGAGGGAAAATTAATTTTTAACAAGGAAGAGGTGAAATACTGGTGTTTTAGTTACTGCTGAAGTGCCAGTACTTGTGTCATCATCATCATCATCATCACCACCACCACCACCATCGCTGTCATTTAGTGCATGTTGTGTGTATCTCATTTATTTCTCACAGAGGCCTTGTAAATAGGTATTATGTAGGCCATTTTGAAGATAAGGAAAATGAGACTTGAAAAGGCCAAGCAAATTGTTCTAAATGGAACCTGTAGCAGAAACAGGAATTAAGTCCAGATCTCTTCCAGTTCTAGAAACTGTGACTTTTCCATTGCAACAGAATACTTCCTTCAGTGCCCAGCATGTGATAGGCTCTCCCTGTGTGATTACTGATGCAAATGAATTTCTTAAATTGCTAGGCGATTTAGCAGTCTTCGTGCATACTTTTTTTTTTCCTTTTTTTTTTTTCAGCTTTAATTGAGTTTATTGGTACATTTTAGGGATACAGTACAGTTACATTCATTGTTGGGCTCTTGTACCTCTACATGACAAGTCATGATTCTCATTTTTTCCCCTTACCTCTGCCCTCCCTTCACCCCCTCCTCCCCTCCCCATCTACAAACACTTTATTTTCATCTTTTCACTCTCTCACATTTTTTTCTTTTCCCTTATTACCCTTCCCCTACCCATCCCACCTTCCCTACACCTTTAGCTCCTTTCTTCCCATTTCTAAATGTCAGTAATCTTATTAGAATCTTATGCATTGTTGCAGATTATTCACACCAGGGAAACTATTCGGTATTTACACATGTGTGACTTATTTATTTCACTTAGGAGTATATCTTCAATATGTATCCATTTTCCTATGAATGAATCTATTTTCTCGTTCTTTATGGCTGAGTAATATTCCATTTTATAGAAAAACCACAACTTCTTTATCCAGTTTCCAACGGATGGGCAAATAGGTTGTTTCCAAGATTTAGCTATTACAAACTGTGCCGCTATAAACATGGGTGCACATACTTCTCTGTGATATGATTCTTTTAGTTCTCTTGGAAAGATACCCAGCAGAGGGATGGCTGGGTCAAATGGAACCTCCAGTCCAAGCTCTTTGAGGTATCTCCATATTGATTTCCATAGTGGTTGCACTAGTCTGCACTCCCACCAACAATGGAGGAGGGTTCCTTTCTCCCCACAACCCCGCCAACATTTGTTATTGTGTGATTTCTTGATAGCAGCCATTCTTTGTGGGGTGAGGTGGAATCTCAGTGTTGTTTTCATCTGCATCTCTCGAATGACCAGTGATGTGGAACATTTTTTCATATATTTTCTTGCTGCTTTTACTTCTTTGTATGAGAAATGTCTGTTCATTTCGGATGCCCATTTTTGGATCGGGTCTTTATATTTGGGGGGACTGATTGTTTTGAGTTCTTTATATATCCTTGATAATAGTCCTTTGTCTGAGGTACAGCTGGTAAAAATTTTTTCCCACATTGTAGATTGTCTCTTAGTTCTGCTAATGGTTTCTTTTGAAGTACAGAAGCTTTTTAGTAAGATGAGATCCCAGTTGTTGATTCTTTCTGCTAGTTCCCGTGCTACTGAGGATTTGTTCATAAAGTCTTTTCCTATACCAATGTCTTCCAGAGTTCTGCCTAACTTACTTTCCAGCAAGTTTAATGTTTCTGTTTTAATATTTAGATCTTTAATCCATTTGGATTTTAATTTAGTGCATGGCGAAAGATAAGGGTCTAATTTTAATCTGTGACAGGTTGATATCCAGTTTTTCCAACACCATTTATTAAAGAGGCTATCTTTCCTCCACTGAGGATGGTGAGCTCCTTTGTCGAAGATGAGGTAGCTGAGTACATCTGCATTTGTTTTTGTGTCTTCCAGTCTGTTCCATTGATCCTCAGGCCTATTTCTTTGCCAGTACCATGCTGATTTTATCACAGTGGCTTTGTAGTATAGTTTCAAATTGGGAATTGTTACACCTGGTGCCATGTGACTGTTGCCTATAATGGCTTTTGCTATTCTAGGTCTCTTGTGGTTCCAAATGAATTTTTGGATTCTTTTTTCTAGTTCTGTGAAATATAGTGTTGGAATTTCAATTGGCATTGCATTGAATGTATATAGCAGTTTCGGTAGTATGGCCATTTTCACTATGTTGATTCTTCCTACCCAGGAGCAGGGGATATCTTTCCATTTTTTTATATCCTCTTCGATTTCTTTTTTCAGAGTGCTGTAGTTTTCAGTGTAGAGATCTTTTGTTTCTTTTGTTAGATTGATTCCTAGATACTTCATTTTTTTGGATGCTATTGTAAAAGGAATTTTTTCCCTTATTTCTCTTTCTGTCTGTCTGTTATTTGTGTATAGAAAGGCTATTGATTTTTGGGTATTCACCTTGTATCCAGATACTTTACTGAATCTGTCAATTAAGTCTAGAAGTTTTTTGGTGGAGTTTTTTGGATCTTCAATGTAGAGTATCATATCATCAGCAAATAATGATAGTTTAACTTCTTCCTTTCCTATCTTTATTGCTTTAATTTCTTTCTCTTGTCTAATTGCTGTGGCTAATGTTTCCAGAACTATATTGAAGAGAAGTGGCGATAGTGGGCATCCTTGTCTTGTTCCTGATTTTAACATGAAGGTTTTCAGTTTTTGGCCATTCAATATGATGTTGGCTGATGGTTTTTCATAAATAGCCTTTATTAAATTGAGGTATAGACCATCTATTCCAATTTTTTGCAGGGTTTTTATCATGAATGGGTGTTGAATTTTATCAAATGCTTTTTCTGCATCTATTGAGAGGATCATATGGTTTTTGTCCTTGACTTTGTTAATATAATGTATTACATTCACTGACTTTCGTATGTTGAACCACCCTTGCATCTCTGGAATAAATCCGACTTGGTCATGATGGATGATCTTCTTAATAATCCTCTGTATTCTGTTTGCTAGTATCTTATTAAGGATTTTTGCATCTATATTCATTAAGGAGATTGGTCTGTAGTTCTCCTTTTTGGTTGTATCTTTCTCTGGTTTGGGAATCAGAGTGATACTTGCTTCCAGGAATGAATTTGGAAGTATAGCTTCTCTTTCAATTTCATTGAAAAGTTTGAAGAGTAATGGTAGTAGTTCTTCTCTAAATGTCTTGTAAAATTCAGCAGTGAATCCATCAGGGCCTGGGCTTTTCTTTGTTGGTAAGTTTTTAATTACATTTTCAATTTCACTGATTGTGATTGGGGTGTTTAAAATGTTTTTATCTTCTTCGTTCAACTTTGGTAATTCATAAGTATCTAGAAATCTGTCCATTTCTTCTGTGTTTTCCATTTTATTAGAGTACAGGTTCTCAAAGTAGGTGTTCATGATCCTCTGGATTTCTTTCGGATCTGTTGTGACTTCGCCTTTTTCATTCCTAATTGCATGGATCTGAGCCTTTTCTTTCCTTTTTTTGATAAGATTAGCTAAGGGTTTGTCAATTTTATTTATTCTTTCAAAAAACCAGCTCTTTGTTTCATTTATTTTTTGTATCGTTTTCTTAATTTCAATTGCATTGATTTCTGCTCGGATCTTTATAATTTCCTCTCTTGTTCGAGCTTTGGGTTTTTCTTGCTCTTGTTTTTCTAGGAGTCTAAGTTTCATCGTTAAGTTGTTTATTTGAGCCCGCTCTGTTTTCCTAGTGTGGGCATTCAATGTTATGAATTTTCCACGTAGAACTGCTTTCATTGTGTCCCAAAGATTCCTGTATGTTGTATTGGCATTCTCATTTATTTGTAAAAACTGTCTAATTTCTTCTTTAATTTCCTCTGTAATCCATTGATTGTTTAGGAGAGTGTTGTTCAGTTTCCATGTGCTTGTGAAGTTTCTATAGTTTCTTGTGCTATTGATGTCTAGTTTGATTGCACTATGATCTGATAATAAACAGGGGATGACTTCAATTTTTTTGCATTTATTTAGACCTGTTTTGTGAGCCAGTATGTGGTCTATTTTGGAGAATGATCCATGTGCAGCCGAAAAGAATGTATATTCTGGTTTTTGGGGGTGGAATACTCTATAAACATCTATTAAGTCCATGTGTTCCAAAGCTTGGTTCAGTTCTATTATTTCATTGTTGATTTTCTGCCTAGTAGATCTG